CCCGGCCCGGGCGTGTGCGGCCCGGCGCACTGGGGCTTCGCGCTGGGCGGCCGGGGCTGCGGCCCGGACGAGTACGAGAAGCGCTACAGCGGCGCCTTCCCGCCGCAGCTGCGGGCCCAGATGCGCGACCTGGCGCGGGGCATGTTCGTCTTCGGCTACGACAACTACATGGCGCACGCCTTTCCGCAGGACGAGCTCAACCCCATCCACTGCCGCGGCCGGGGGCCGGACCGCGGGGACCCGTGAGTACCTTGCGCCCCGCGATGCCTCCCGCCCCCGGGGCCGCCGGGGCCTTTGGGGTCCGCGGCGGCGCTCGAGGGTCGGACCGTGCCTAGGCCGGCCGCCTTCTGAGGTCTCCTGGGGCCTCGAGGTACGTGGGTGGGCTGACGAGGGTTCGCTTTCTCGATTTTGCGGGACTCTGAACTTCATGAGCCGTTCGGACCCATGTCTTACCCAGCTGGGGACACAGGACTAGAGACCCGAAGGGACAGTGACAGTGCCAGAGACGGGGCCCAAGGCGCGCTTAGGTCCCTGTACTCCAGGCGGACACATATGCTACTTGAAATTTGTACAGCATTTGCCTGGCTGGGGAACGCAGCTTCAGAACGAGACCGCCCCTGTTCTAATCAGTGCCACACCCAGGTCTTTTTAATATAAATATTGAGCTGATTCCTAGAAAGGATTTGTGAGCCATCTAGTGAGTTGGAGGCACCGAGAGGATAGGATTTAACCCTTTTTCTCTGGGGAGTGTTTCTTAGGTGGCAGAGAGTGAGATGGGAAGAAAAGTGGTCGACTGGCCGGCCCAGCTTTGGGTTCTCAATATTGGAAGCATTCTCGCAGAATACACGCTCAGCATCACTGCCCTGTGCTTTATGCCCCGTGAACAGCATTCCGTGGCAGGGCCGTCAGGGGAGGTCAGCCAGACCTCACCGTATGGCCTTGTTTGTGAAGGCAGAGCTCCAGGATTCATTGTTGCAGACTTCAGTCCAAGAGGGCAGCACACCCAGTTTAGGCCAGCCCTCCCAGGAAGGGAGGAGTGTGCCTGTTAGGCCGGATAGGTGACTAGCTTCAGTGTTTCCCTTCAGGTAGGCATGGAGGAGTTGGATTGCTCACTGCCTTGGTGGAACACCGGAGTGCCTTTGGATGTGTGAGGCTTACATTTTTGTTCCCTAATGGAAAGCAGTGACGTTCAGTCTTTAAGATCTAAAAAGGAAGACCATATACTAAGAGTATCACCAAATTCATTGACTTAATTTGCTGTGTGAGGGCATGACCGTTAGTGAAGCAAGGGCACGTCTCAGACGAGTTTTAAAGGACTGAATCTTTCCAAAGTTGTAGGAAACTGACATTTATTTTTCTTGTTTAACTATATTGTCCTTTTTACATAAAAATGTATTTTCCAGCTTATTTGACTTGAGAAAAATAACTTTAAAATTTTTGTTTAAAAACAGTTATTTGGGGCTGGGGAGATGGCTCGGTAGAATAAGCGCTTCCCTGGCAAGTGCAAGGGCCTGAGTTCAATCCTTGGTTCCGCAAAAAAAGCCTTCTTTTTTCCAAATAGTAGACATGAGTTGTCTTGCTTAACTAGAGGAAATTGTTGCGCATATTTTTCTTTCAATCACAACTTTTTTTTTTTCTGAGAAAGGATCTGGAATTACTGGTGTGAGCCACCACTCCCAGCACAATTGCAATTTTTAAGATAATAAACTTCATTAATCTTTTTTGAGGGGTGCCCTAAATTTCTACCAGATAGTTATTTTTAATTTCTTTTTAAAAGTTTTTATTTTTTATTTAATTTTTAATTTCTTTCTTGCCACCTCCTGTCATATGCCTGTACATTATTTACACAGTTGCAATCAAAGTATGTGTATATATTTTGCATCTCAACAATATTGTTTTCTCTGCAGTACTTACAGTATTACAAGAAGGGAGCACTTTAAAGGCCTGTATTTTCTCACAGATTTTTTTTCTCAGATTTTCTTTCATCAGGCAGACCTAAGGCAAATAGTCTAATGGGGAAATTGTGGTAACACTTTCCATCAGATTGTAATGGCCTGGAGTATGGGTTGATGGCATGTTAGTGCTTTCTGAATGAAGTATAAGAACCTGCTAGAGTGTTGAGAACCCCCTCTCCTCAGCAAGGTGAGGCAGTTGTTGATCATGTGTGAAGGAAGTAGGCATTTATTTTAAGATGAAGTCTGATAGTATTTTGGTTTGGCAGTGTTATTCAGTGGCATTCTGTGTAAATGAAGGTTAAGTTGCTTTGAGATATTATTTTTGGAAAGACTGTGTTAGAAGTATAGGGTGTAGGGATGGCATTTGGCCTTATCGTTTTGTAAACCTTGTATCCTAAAGGAGGTAAGAGAGCTCTTGGGCTATGTGGCCTTGGGTAGACAGGACCGGAAAGATTGATTTTCTATTACTTCCTTTAACTCCTGAGGATTTGCAATTTTTTCAGGAAGGTTTAGAACCTAAGCTTTGTCATTCTGACTGTGAAACAATAGGGCACATTAACATCCTCCAAATAAATAACCCGAATTAAAAATTATTCGATTGCTTTATTTCCTTTTGTGATACTGGAGATTGATCCCAGGGAGTGTTGAACTTCACACTGTCCCCACCCCCTTTTGTGGTGAATGAACTCAAGACTTCCTACTGAGCTACATCCTCTTTGAGACAGGTCTTACTAAGTCTGTAAGTTACTCAGGCTGGGCTCCAACTCTTGCCTCATCTTTCTGTAGTGATGGGATTACAAGTGTGTGCCATTTTTATTTTGAAAGACAGTCGTGCTAAGTTGTCACAGATGGCTCTTTCACCTTCCAAATAGCTGGTTTTATGTGATTGTGTCACCACCCCTGACTTCCAGGTTTTAAAGATATTCTCATGACTGTTAATCAAGTTGTCTTCTAATGATTCTTTTGGTTTTGTTTTGTGAAGCAGGCTATCACTATGTAGTCCAGGCTGGCCTTGAAGTCACTGTAATTCCGGCTGGCCTGGACCCTGAAGCAGTCCTGCCTCAGCCCTCCTGAGTGTTGGGATTACACAAGTGTACCACCACACCCAGTTTAATTTATATTTTTACGGTATTGGGGATTGAACTCAGGACCCTGCACTTGCCAGGCAAGTGCATACTCTACTGAGCTATCTCCCTGGCCCCCTAATGATTCTTTTAAAGTACAGTAAATTCACTAGAATCACCAGTAGAGAATATTATGTAAAAGGGGTAGAAACAAAATATAGATACTCAACGTATATATCTTTCCTTTTTAGTTACATTTGCTTGAAATTTATCTTGCCTGTCTTTATGGGGGGAGGTGTCCTGTGAAGAGTTAATATGAAGTAAATGAAAAGTCAACACTTTAAAAATAGATTATCTTTCTGTGTAGCTTCCGATTGTTATGCAAAATCAGTTCTCACTTCCCCACTTTAGGTTGGAGAATCCAAATTCAAAAATTTCTTTGAGCAAATTGTATATTGTTTTTACAGTTTTTTAATAACTGAATCCAAGCTTTTAAACATAACTTCACACTTTTTCTTCAACTATGCTGCTTTTAAAAGAAAAAAAGTAACTATCAGATAAGCCAAATGCAATATTGACCTCCCAACTGACTAATTTCTGTGAGCCCTTAATTTTAGATAGACTCTTCCTGAATGTCTCAAAATCTGTTCTCTATTTTAGTCAGCTGAAGTCTTTTTTTTTTTTTTTTCCTGTCACCACTGAGCTGTTTGAAGCTGAATTTTTTTTTTTTTTTTTTTTTTTTTTTTTGTGGAAGTGGGAATTGAACTCAGGCCCTTGTGCTTGCCAGGCAAGCACTTATTCTACTGAGCTGTTTCCCCAGGCCCTGAAGCAGATTTTTGACTTCCTCAGTTTTCATTTTGGTTCCTCTCTTTTGAGCTGCTACTCTGCATTCAGTGTTGCCTGAGAATTCAGTACTATTTTGTATTCGCCATCATTTCCCTTTGTCTTCTCTCTCCATATTATCAATCCCTTGAATATAGGGATTCTCTTTTTACTAAGCTCTGTACCCATATAGTATCAGTAAATTTCTGGATGGCTGTTACCCACTAACTGTATCTGGGATTTTTTTTTTTTTTTTTTTAGCATACCTGTTTTGTTTGATTTTTGTCAGCTGAGGCCAGGGAGATAGCTCAGTGGAATAAGTGCTTGCCTGGCAAGTGCAAGGTCCTGAGTTCAATCCCTGGTACCACAAAAACAAAAACAAAAAAAGATTAAGTACTTGGCTGGGGAGATAGCTCAGTGACATTAAGCACTTGCCTGGCAAGTGCAACGTCCTGAGTTTGATCCCAGGTACCACCAAAAAAAAAAAAAAAAAAAAAAAAAAAGATTTTGTTAACTGCATAATAAAACTTAGTTTCTATCAAAGGACAGAGTTTTAAGGTTGAGTTATTGGAAAGAGCTCTCAGGGGAGATTCAATTTCAATAATGATATCTAATGAAGAAATATACTGTTTTACCTGCATAATAAGCTGACACATGGAATCAGGAGTCATGAGAATTTCATGCTATGAAAAGTATGAAACTTTTACAAGAAAATTTTATTTTTAATTTTTTAAAAATTTATTGAGAAAACGGATAGCAATGAGACAGTCCCAAAACCAGTTACTAGCACAGTTTCACTAATTAATACATTGCATATTGTTGTCTTAGTGGTTATTCATTGTGCAAGATGCAGACATGATATCCTGTCCACAAACAATCTCTATTCAGTGATCCAAGAGAATGCGGCTGTGTATCAGTCTTAACTATTTCGAACATACAGATACAAAATGGTGGTTCATTTGTATCCCCTTTTTTGTTAGTTTTGTCAGAGAAGGGCACTCCATTGTCATTTTAATATTTTAAGTGTGTGAATTCAGTAAAATATTCCAATATAGTCCAGTACTCCATAAGAGTAGTGGGTTTTCTGTAAGACTGGTGATGACAAGAAGTTGTTGACTTGGCCAGGGGGATGGCTCAGTGGAATAAACGCTTGCCTGGAAAGCACCAGGGCCTGAGTTCAATCCCCTGTTCCACCAAAAAAAAAGAAAAAGAAAATTTATTAGTGTCATTTTTTTTTTGTTGTTGTTGTTGTTATCCTCCCAATTTTTTCTTTCTTTGCTTAAAGAATATAGCAATTATTTGTTAGGACTTAAAAGTTATGAACGTTAAATCTTTAAAAGTTTTTATCTGACTGGAGTAGAAAGAAGGAAGTGTGATGGGTTTTGTGTATGTGTGCACACATGGTTTTTTTGAAATAGTTTTCACACATAGTTTAGGCTGGCATCTAAAAGCATTTAAGAATTGTATTCATTTTAGTTGAAGATTAAAAGAAAAAAAAAGATAGGGAGGAGTATAGAGCCCAAAATTAATAATATCTTCCAGGGGCTGGAGAGATAAATAGTTCAGCAGAATAAGTGCTTGCCTGGCAAGCGCAAGGGCCTGAGTTTAATCCCCGGTTCTGGGGGGGGGGGGGAATCTTCCATGGGGGGCGGTGCAGGTGAGGAGGGTAACACATGCCACAGAGTGTAACTCTGGAGATGGTGTGGTATGTGGTTCTCAGTCTAGTGTGAGTGCTACTTTGGTGATGTGGGAATCATTCCCTGTTGAGGAGGGTAATTGAATCCCACTATGTTTCTGATCAGCAAGATAATGTCATTAAATATTTAAGCCCAGCGTAATGTTCTTCAGTTGAGGATTTCCTTGTCTGCTTTGATCCTATCCTCCATCCCTTTTCTTGTACACTTCCTGACTGGTGTTGTCTGTGAGAGGTATATTTGAATCTGTAGCTCTTGCCTTGAAAGTACCTTTGGCTATGATGTGAATTTATTTAGCAAGAGTAAACCAATGTATATAATCCCAACACCTGAGAGACTGAAGTAGGATGATTGCATGTTTGAGCCTAGCTTGGGCAGTTTAGGAGCCTATTTTAAAACAAAGAGGACTGGGGATTAGTTCACTGTGAAATTCTTGGGTTTAATCTCCAGACTTTTGGGAAAAAAGTCAACAAATTGAAGAAATAGACACAATTTTACAACCATGCTGTTTGTTGACTTTATAGCTTGTGCTGGATAAGAGGGCTCTAGTTTCTAGATAGCCCCCTGTGGGAGACCCTTCCCACTGTGCCAGTTAACAAGGACTCCTGCCAGGTGTTATGGCACAGGGTCTGAAGAAAGGGTAAGAGACACATAGAGATTCAGACCGGGATCTGGGATGAGCTGTTCTCAGGGAGCAAAAGGCCAGCAAGCACTAAAACCTTAGCATTTATTCATTACTTCTGAGTCAAGGTCAATGAATGAAAGAGTGTGGGTGTTTGAGGAACAGTAATGGGGACTATGGTAGTCTAGGAAGAACAAGAAAGCATTCTTTTTTTTTAAATTATTTGGTACAGGGTCTTGTTACGCAGCTTACACTCATAGTGATCCTCCTGTCTCAGCCTTCCCAGCCCTGGGATTTCAGGCATGTTCCACCATGTGTGGTTTTGGGACCAGCATGGCATGCAGTACTGGAAAGTGAAACTGGGTCCTTGTGCTTGCCAGGCAGGTGCTTAGACCACCAAGCTGTCTCCGCAGTCCAACAAGGTATTCTTGCAAGGACAGGGACGAAATGGGGGCGACGAGAACCCTGTAATGAAGAAATATACTGTTTCCCCTGGTGCTTTGTAGTTTCCAGCAGGTCTTACTTGGCCCTGTGAGTGCCCCTGCAATCATTAGCCCTAGGGCTTCCAGCTGTGACCAGAAAAGAGGTGGGATTTGCCCATTCCAATCTGGCCCAACGGGCAGAAAAAGGACGGGCTTTGGACCTCCCCCAGACTCAATAATTTGTGGTCTGCAGCAGCCCTCTCTATAAAGCTTTTTTTTTTTTTTCAGAACCGAGGATTGAACTCAGGCCCTTGCGCTTGCCAGGGAAGCGCTTATTCCACTGAGCCATCTCCCCGGCCCCTTAAAGCTTGTTTTTTAAAAAAACTATCTAAAATTTTGATACAGATTCTTTGTCCTACATTAAGTGACTTAATATAATATGGAACAGGGCAATGGAAAGTTCAAATAAGATCTTATATTGAAGCTGTTTCTTCCCTGTAAGGCTGGTTTGGCTCCAGCCAAAGCCAGTAGGAAGCCAGCCTTTCAGAATCTAGCAAGCAGTAGAGAAAGAAGAAAAGCTGTCAAAAACATCTCATAGAGAAGTGGACGAGAAAGCATCTGGAGGATCCCAGATACAAATAGGGAAATAGGGTACACTCCAGGGATATCTGGAAGTTGTCAGATATCAAAAGTCTGTGTTGCAAATGAAACTGGGCCTTTTGCACTTTGGTTCAGAAGGAGTTTTTTTTTTTTTTTTTTTTTTTTGGTTTGGCCTGCTCAGGATGCCTTAAGGGCAGATCTGGAAGGTATGAAGATCAGGGGATTGAACCACAGAATTCTGAGCCTGACTGCTTTGCTTCAGCAGGCACTTACACAACTGAGCTATTGGGCAGGCCCTTGACCTTTCTCTCACAGCTGAAAAGCTTTTGAACATTTGTCTTTTTTCTCCCTTTCCTGTCATATACCCTCAAGTTTCTGCAGTTATTTGGGTTTGTGGGAGTGGGACAGAGGAATAAGTGAAGTTCTTGGTTTGAATTTCTAAAGTAGCTATGGCTTATTATTTCAACTACTTTCCCAGCCTGCCTTACTAGATACATTAATTTTTGTTGTCTTAATAGTTTGTGTTATAAACAAATATTGGAGTGACCAGAGGGCAACCCTGTCCCCTGCTTCCCATGTTGGTGAGGGGATGGACTCATGCATGTTACCAAGCCCTCCACCGGCGAGTTACCTACCCAGTGGCCCTTGTACCTACCTACCTTCTCTTTTCTTTTCCTGTCATACATACATAACATGTATTTTCATCATGAGGAGTTGGTACATATATGTGTCACATCTTGATCCTTTTTACTTCCCCTCCTATCTCCCTGCTTTGTCAGATTTCCCTTCCTTTCTACACAAGGAACCTCGCTCTGTTTGGTTGGTGTTGATTATGAGAGTGGAGGTATGTAGCAGTAATGTTGATGCAGTTCAAGTGAGAAAAGAGAGCAGCGCCTTGATTCTTGCTTTGGTTTATAAGACATCCCTCAAGATTAATAAAAATAATGGGAAGTATTTGGTTGAGATGGTAGTGAAAACTTGATATAAAAAAATCAAATTTATTTCCCTAATCAAAGGACAGATGAGTCGGTGCTGTATCTGTATCTGCAGGTCTTTACTTTTTTGTGTGTAATCTGCTGGAGTATGGAATTTTTATATTAAAGTTATACAGGTAGGTCCTATGACCAAACTCTCCTATAGTTCCTAGTGATTGTGAGGCTGGGCAGGATGGAAGAAATCATTTGTAGCACTAGAATGCCTCAGACAGGGCAAATGACCCTTACTTGCAGCTCCTAGCTTATGTTGAGTTGTTTGTACTCTTGTAATTTACATGATTGTGTCTGCTATGCTGTTATGCCATCGTACTTGTAGACACTGTGCTGGAAGAGACCTTTGCCCTACAGATCTATCTACTCACAGTTTCTCAATAAATAAGAATGGCTGGCAATTTTAATTTTTAATGGGTGCTTATTTTTCTCTCTCTTTTAAAATAAAGTACCTGCATTTAATTTTAATTTTATTTCTTTTTCAGTTCAAATCTGAACATCAATGACGTATTAGGGAACTATTCATTGACTCTCGTTGATGCGTTGGATACACTGGCAGTAAGTGTTGCAATTTTAAAAAAATGAACAAGTTTTCTGGCTTCTATCTCTGCTTTGCATTAGGAATGGAAATTTCAGAGAACCTGATACTTTTATAATCTTAATTTTTGTTTGAGACAGGGTCTGGCTATGTAGTCCAGGGGGTAGTCTTGAACTTGCTTCGTAGCCCAGGCTGGCCTCCAACTTTTGCTCCTGTTTTTGCCTCCCCCGTGCTGAGATTACAGGTGTGGACTACTGCACCTGGTAAACTTGATACTTGAAGGCTTATGCCACTGAGCTGTCTCCCCAGCCTGATACATAAAATGTTTTCATGGCTGTTATTTATTTTAGTGGACTTTGTGGCAATAATGGGAAAAAGGTTGAAGGTTATGAAAGAGGAAATGTGATTCTCTTTAAATAACAGTGAAAAAAAAATGTGTACTTGTTTTTAGAGAACCAATTCCCAAACTCCAATTTTCCACTGCCTTACATGCTAAAGGAATCCATAGAGGATTGCCTTAATATTTACAGTCACTACAGTTAGTGTTTCAGGAATAGAAGACAGAAAGTCTCCAGGTTGCTAGATATCCCGAAGTTCCACCTAGCTGCTGGGTGGCTCCTTGTGCTTCCTAATGTGGAGGCCCTGTGTGAGTACTGCTGTCACTCACTGCTGCTCTGGAGTGCTGAGGTTGCAGACGTGTGGTGCCAGGCCTGGCTTGCGTCTTCATTGTATAAGTAGCAGAAGGACAAGGCCCTTTGTCTAATGGAAGTCTGGACTATTGGCTTTGCTGCTTGGTGTAGTTGGAAAGCAGCTTAGCTCCTTGGCTCTCTTCCTTCTGAAGGAATTGCTTCTGCATTGTCATCATCCCTGGTTACTTATCCAGATGTGCCCCAACAAGTTAGTGCAGCCTAATGAGAGCAGTTAAAAACTAGTGTTCCTTGAGGCATCCTACGAGTCTTATGTAAATTGACGCCTGTCTGACTCCATTAATCAACATTGTAACTTTTTATCTCCACACTGGTACTACAGAGACCTTGTTTTTGTTATGCTGTACTGTACTATCCCTACACTTGATGGTAAATGGTACATATTAGGATTACAAGCTTTTGTTTAAAATAGTTCAGCATCTCCAAACATAAATTACAAGGAAAGAAGAATTCTAAAAGGAGCTCAACAGATTTTATGTCTTAACTATTGGAGAGCCGTATTAAAACATCATCATTCTAAGGGCTCTGAGGAGTCATGCAGTGAAGAAACCTATATAATGATTCGTCTAATCCAGCTTCTTTCAATCATTCCATACCCTGGTTTCTTGGGGCTCTTAGCTATCTGACTGAAATAGTAAATTACACTGTATAGTTAAGCATTGCTGACTGTCTACACCATCCTGCTCTTGATCTGAGATCATATCAGCACTGCAGTAGCACTGGATGTTGTTACTGCTGTACATCTGTAAGGAAACCGACCTGTTTTTGTGGTTTTTGTTGTAGAATATCTGGCCTTTACTGCCTTAGCATGTCACACTTTTCAGGTCTTATGTTGAGGGTTTTTTTCTCTTGCTATCCTTTTAAATAGGCTTTAGCAGATATGCTGTGGAAACCCTTGGGGAAAGCGGTCCCCTGACCATTTCATGTAACTTGCAGTGTTGTTGCATCATCTTTTAAAAGGAAAACTGAAACTCAGAAAAGAAACATCTATACCTGTCTCTGCGTGTTACAGCAAATAACGATCAACAGAAAAAAAGATGTCATAGACCAGTAAAATTAGAAAAGGAAACATAGTTGAGTATCTGGGAAAATTATTTTTTCTCTATTTTTGTTTTTTGTGGGGATGTATCATTATGAGAACAGTGTGGTCTTAATATTGACATGAATTTTTTGATAGAATTAAGTTGTTTCCATTTAGGTTAATCAGTAAAATTTTATGCTCAAATTGCAATTTGTATAGGAGGAAACATCCTGTCTACACCCCGAGTAGGAATCATAATTCTAGAACACTTTTCAAAGGACATAGAGCTGGTTAGTTGTATAATTTAAGTGTCACTGGTTTTATCCTGTGTTCCAAGAGGGTTTTGGATATCTGCATGGCAAGCATCAAGTTTAGTAAGATTTCTAGATTGGTCTCCTGGGAGCCAAGCATCCATCAACTGGATTTATTTGAAAAACAAGGTGAAAGTCATACATCTTTTTCTTTAATTTTTTGATTTATGTTATACTCATCCAAGAAATTTTAGGTAATGACATTGACTTTGCACTTAAGTTACATTAGACTGAAGCTGAGAGACAGAGAAAGAGGAGAGAGAGAGAGAGCGCGAGAGATAAAGACAGACAGACAGACAGACAGAAGAGTGGGAAGATGGGAAGATTAGGAGTGCCCTTGGTTCTAAAAGGGGAGATATTTTCATAGTCTTGCCACTTGGAGATGTGATTCTTGAGCTTCAGGAAGTAGGCTTGCCATTGTCTGAAATACAGTTAGTCCCTGACTTACTAACAAGTTCTATTTTGGGAGAAAGTTTTTAAGTTGGGTTTGTTTAGAAGTCTGACAAAGTCAGTTTTATACACCTTTGACACAAATATACAATATAAAGAGCATAAAAAGACCAAACCTCCACATCACCACTGCTTTTCCTGTTTCTTCCAGACATCCAGGGCTCTGATTTGTACTGTACTACTGTGCAGTAAGCACACAGCACACAGCTGTGACGTTGTCTGGCAGGCACATCAGATACTTCCATGATTTGTTTGCATCCTTATGTAACTTGAGATCCCATCCTAACTCCAGATCCCTTCCTAACTCGAGGTCCCTTTCTATCTGTGAAAGTTTGCAACTTGAATGAACATTTGTTCGTAAGTCGAGCACCAACTGTGTATTGTGAAAAGTCACTGGTTTTCTACCCTTTGTGCTTCTCCTCCTACAGTGGCAAAACCACATACAATATAGACATTTTTATGATGGGCCACACTGCTGCAGTCATGTAGCCTATTGCATCTTAAGCTGCTATAATGGTTTCTATTCTTCTTTTTAAAGATAATGGGAAATTCATCTGAGTTCCAGAAAGCAGTCAAGTTAGTGATCAACACAGTTTCATTTGACAAAGATTCTACTGTACAAGTCTTTGAGGCCACAATAAGGTAAAATAGTACATAAAATGGGTTGTCTGTGTGTGTGTGTGTGTGTGTGTGTGTGTGTGTAGAAAAATTCCTTTAGGTTTTCTAGAACCAAAATCCAGGTGGACAGTCAATATAGATATTGAGTGCAACTTATATTTTTTGTGTTTCTTTTAGTATTTACCAAATTATAACAGCTGAACACATGATGATCAGATTTTTTTTTTTTTTTTTTTTTTTTTTTTTTGCGGAACCAGGGATTGAACTCAGGCCCTTGCGCTTGCCAGGCAAGCACTGCCAGGCTTGCCAGGCAAGCATCTGATTATTTCCCCAGCCGATAATCAGATTTTTAATTGGAAAAAAGGAAATATTCATGTTTGAATGGGTGTCCCTTTAAGCAGTTTCTTGATTTTCCTTTATGCTTGGTTTTTTAATTTTACTTAAAGTTATGAAATCACTTGGTATGAAAAATGTCATAGTCTACTCCAGATGGTTAGAAAGGTGATTGATGGGTCTACAGTGACATAGATGTAGGCTGTTAGCCTTTTTACCCATGCCATTTTCTTTTCATTTTCCTCCTTATCCTCTTATCAGATACTGAAGTTCATCAGTTGCACAGTAGCCAGAACTGTAGAAGCTACTTAGTGTCTGTTGTCTAACCTTTTTCTTTTTTATGTAGCTAAGTCTTTCCCCCAAGTAAGCTAAATCAAGTATAATTTAGTAGCACAGTAGGTAATATATATTTTGAAAACAAGTAGCACGGTCTTAATTAGTATGATTTTTTTTTCTTAACCTCTAAGGTAAAGGTAACTAACTTTGTTAATCCTTTACGGTGTATTTTTCTCAGTAGCCTGACATGAATGATTCCTTTTGAGTAATGCAGTAAACTAAAAATTAGCCAGTCAGTAGAACTAGAAAGAATTTGAGAGGACATTATCTCAGCTCCTTACTTCAGGTAGCTTGGAGTCCATAAGAAGTAGTTGCTGCTTCTGTCATTCTGAATTAGTTTATTTGTCCTTATAAGCAACATGATTTTATTTTAATCATTTATTTTTGTTCTTTTTGCCATTAGGGTTCTGGGAAGCCTCCTTTCTGCCCACAGAATAATAATTGACTCTAAGCAGCCCTTTGGAGACATGACAATTAAGGACTATGATAATGAGTTGTTGCACATGGCCCATGACCTGGCTGTGCGACTCCTCCCTGCTTTTGAGAACACGAAGACAGGGATCCCCTATCCTCGGGTAGGTAGACTGGCTTTTCCCTTTGTGCTTGATAATTCACCATCTTCTGGAATTAAAAATATTTGGTAGAAGGAGTAAGTCTGAGGTAGATGAAGAAAATGATATTCTTGAAATAATTTTACCCTAAACATAATTCATTCATCATTTACGAAGCACTGTCCATGTGCTGGGCATGCGGTGACATAGCTGAAATATTCAAAGAAAAACTTCTCTCAAAAAATTTATTCCCTTTAAAACTTATTGTTCCTGTGTTCAATATACCTAAATCTTTTACAAGTATGATTTATAACATGTGCTCCCAAATAGTGTACAGAAAGTCCTCATTTCTTGTTTGGGTAGATTTCCCCAAAGATCCTCACATGTGTATTAGAGAGGAGCTCAGTGAATGTTCTTTTGAATATTTCATGTGACTGTTTCAAGTAAAGCCTGCGCAGCCTGGCATAGTAGTGCACACCTGTGATCCCAGCACTTGAAGGCTGAGGCAGGAGAATTACTGTGAGTTCAAGGTTAGCCTAGGCTACATACATAGTTCAGAGTCAGCCTGAATTGCATGGGGAGATGCTAACTGAAAAACAAAACAAAACAAAACAAAAAACCAGGTTTGGTGGTGCATGCCTGTAATCCCAGCACTGGGGAGACTGAGACAGGAGGATCGTTGCAAGTTCAAGACCAGCCTGGGCTACAAAGTGAGTTCAAAGCCAGCCTGAACTGCATAATGAGACCCTGTCTCAAAAAGAAAAAAGGGGCCTGCGAGGACCAGCAAGCTAAGTGGCAATTTAAATGCAAGATCTCTGTGATATCTGATTTGTCAAGCCAAAACTCCTTTGGGAACTAAGTCAGCCTTTGAGGTAACCAGGTAGTGAGTTGTCGGGCCACAGGGCTGCCATGATGCCGCTGACTTCATATTCTAGGTGAGTCTCCCCTTGTTCCCAGTCTGAGGCCTGTTTATGTTTACAGAGCAGAAGTGCATTCATAGTGGCTTACTTAGAGTTTAGAACTGGTTCCATAGCTCACCTTTTTCTTTAATCCTGAAACCTGATCATGTGTAACCATGATAAAAATCCTGTTGGAAAGAGATGCTTTAGTAAGCCTCACATGATAGGGCATGACTGTGATCTCGGCTATTTGGGAGGCTAAAGCAGGAGCATCACAAGTTTGAGGCCAGCCTGGGGAACTCAGTGAGACCCTATCTCAAAATAAAGAACTGAGAGTATATGTACCACAGTAATGAGGCACTTGACTTAGCATGTGTAAAGGCCTGGGTTCAATCCTTAGTATTGTCCCCCCCCCCCCAAAAAAAAAATCGAAACTATCAGTGAGATGTTTCAGTTAATTGTGTAATTGTCTTATTGTCATTCCTTCAACACTTGCTGCTCTTTTTTTTAACTTGTCCTTAATAAGACAGGGCTCTGGTGTTCTTATTCTCATTTGTGCCCATGTTGATCTTGGGTCTAACATAACTATCAGCACAGTAAGTGTGGTACATTCATTAGCTGAGTGCAGTATCTATGACTTGGCCTTTGAGTGTGTAAGTTCTTAAGTTTTTCCATGAGACCTGTGACTGACTCTTCCTGTCCCCAGGTGAATCTAAAGACAGGCGTTCCTCCTGACAGCAATAATGAGACCTGCACCGCAGGAGCTGGTTCTCTCTTGGTGGAATTTGGGATTCTGAGTCGACTGCTGGGGGATCCCACCTTTGAGTGGGTGGCCAGACGAGCAGTGAAAGCCCTCTGGAACCTTCGGAGCAATGATACGGGATTATTAGGTGTGGTGTACTTTCTCCTGCCGTTGGGGCTCTTTCACTTCATCTCTGAAGGCATTCTTCCTGTTTCTCCCTTGTACCACTGAATCTGAAAATTTTCAACTCAGAAAGAATGGTACTGCTGTAGTCAATTTATTTTTGTGACCTTTTGCTTAGACTGAGACTATAGGGTTTGATAGAAAAAAAATACTTTTGCTCTTTGAGAGTACCCTTCTGATTTGGAGCCCTGGGTATATTCTACTTGAAAATTATTGTTAATGTACATGTTATAAAGAGAACTGCTTCTGAGGCAGGTTTTATTGCTTCAATATAAAGTTCTAAACATTAGAATTTGAAGTTATCAGTGAAATGATTTCTCCTTTTTATTTATTTATTTTTTTTAGGAGAGGGTCTGCAGGGTGTTCATTGTCTCACTACTAGATCGGACTTGTAGTGATCCACCTGTCTATAGCCTCCCAAGAGCTGGGATTACAGGTGCACACCATCACGCCCAGTCTCTGGTTTCTCCTTTTTATATTTATTTATTTATTTATTTATTTATTTATTTATTTTTTTGTGGAATTGGGGATTGAACTCTGTGCTTTTTAAAAAAGTTGTATGTAGTAGTAGATTGAAAATTCCAGGTTAAATTTACTTTTGTTTACTTTTTTCTTTCTCAGAATGTTTGATCAGGATATTGAAAAAAATATTTTGGAATATTTCAAACATTAATTGTAGAAAGAAGGTATAATGAATAATCCCTGTGTGTTCAGTCACCATCAGTAATTATCTTGTATATTGCTAACAACGTAACTCATAGAGTTGTCTTATATTGGAACATACTTTCTTTTTGACTGTCAGAAGTAATTTGGTTTGATTGGTTTTTCTAGACCCATAGGGAATTACAAAAAATTTACACTTTAAAGTGATTTTTAAAATTTCTTAGTTCTAAAATTTATATACAGATTTATTTATTTTTAAAATGTATTTAGAACAGGGTCTACAGGGTTTCACTACACAGATTGGACTTGTAGTGATTCTCCTGTTTTCAGCTTCCCAAGTGCCGGGATTACAGGTGTGCATAACCACACCCAGTCTTAATCACCATCTCAGTGGGCCCTGGGGGTTGGGGCGGCACGGCACACCAGAGATTGAACCCTGGCCTGGCCGTTTTTTTTTTTTTTTTTTTTTTTTTTTTAGGGACGGGTCTACAGGGTGTTCAGGGTCTTACTACTAGATCAGACTCCTAGTGATCTGCCTTTTTTTTTTTTTTGGCAGAACCAGGGATTGAACTCAGGCCCTTGAGCTTGCCAGGGAAGTGCTTATTCCAGTGAGCTATCTCCCCGGCCCCAAGGCCGTTATTTGTTGATTTAATAGCAACAGTAGAAATAAGATCAAATTATTAATTCATCACTAAATAATTGACCACTATCACCATAAATTGTCAGTCTGTAACTTTCTATAGGCATCTATTTTGTGTGTGTGCGCGCGTGTATGTGTTTGTGTGTGATATTGAGGATTAAAGCCAGGACCTTGTCATGCCAGGCAAGTACAGCTGTACCACTGAGCTATATCTCCAGTTCTTTAAATTTTATTATGAGACAGGATCTTGCTGAGTTATCCAGGCTGGCCTTAAACTTGTGATCCATCTCCTCTACCTCCTCGAGCCCAATAGTAGCTGGGATTTCAGGTATATATATGTTCCACCCTAGCTTCATACACCCTTTTTAGCCTGGTATGTGGAACTTTTCTATGTTTTCATTTATTAACAAAAAACAAAATTTTTTATTCTGCCTTAATTTGGCAGAATTTGTAGCACTAGAGTAGTACAAAAGCTTCAGTTTACAACTTTTCTTCTGCAGGGTTTCCATGTTATTTTCATAGTAACTCATTTAAAAGCTACATAGTCATGTATTAACCCTTTTTCTAGTGTTAAACACTTAGATTCTTTCTTTCTATCTTTTTTTCTCTTTTCTGCAGATAATTTTCTGGTGAACAGCATAAGAGTTTTTCTTTGTAAAAACTTTTTTTTCAGGACAGATTACTGGGAATAAAAGTACTGGGTTAAAGGCTGTGAGTACTCCTTTAGGTTTTGAAATATATTGTCAGTGTGA